AAAAATCCCTGGCTTTTGACAGAAAGTGGAAGAATATGGAAGATTTACTGCTGAGTGAAGCAAGATATCTATTGAAGATATTGAAGATATTTTATAGTTTTATCAACTGGACTGGGGAGAAATGTTCACATGTTGAAATATTCACTTTGAAAGCTAAGTAATATGATTGAATGTATAAAAGAAAATGTAATAAAAATGCAAATAAAAATTTTAAAAAGGAAAAAAGTTCATGGAAATTCATATTACAAAAAAAACTATGCTTGGATTTCAAAAATGCTTCTTATCAAAATAAACTCATATTTAATTCCAAAAAAAAAAAAGAAAAGAAAAGCTGAATGGACATTTCAAACTTGGCCAAGATTGAAAATAATGACTTTCCATGTTGATAACAATCTGAAAGCCTTTAATGAGCATAGGCTCTTTAATTAGTAAGATGATCCAGTATGTAGATTTAGTTATGTTTCTAGTTTTTCCAATAAGATCCTGACATAGAGTCAATAATTTAATTTCAGCTAACTAAGCTTACATGTCTTCTGACATTTCTGACCATTTAAATTTCCAACAAGAATACTACTCCTTAACGCTTAATATTATTCCACCTCTCGAGGGCTCTAGCTAACAGCCAGTGTTCAGGTGATCACAGTGGCTGTCAGGACTGTGCGCTTCCTATTCCCCCTCTCCATGTGACAGTCCTGAGTATACACCTTCCTCCCTCCTCGCTGCTGTCTCCCTGTTCTCTGTTCAGACTGTAAGGTCTATTTCTGAGAATGTTTTGCAGGGTTCAAGAGTCCTAAAAAGATTTTAGTCCCCAGAAATCTGTCTTACAAAAATGCCCAAAGATATTTACTCACAGTACGGTCCTTGAATCTTTCTCTAAAGTAGGTGATAGCAGAGGCATAGAACTACGTAAAGGCTTATCAGAGGAAATAATAACAATGTCTGCAACTACGGACACCTCGTCTACACTGCCAAGTACCATTTACTGAAGTCTTCAAGACTTGTATGTGTTCAATACTGAACTAAGGGCTTAATGATCTAATGCAATTAATCCCAGACATCCTTGATAGAAGAGAAGTCAGAGATTCTCAGAGTTTGACTTTCCCAAGGTACCAGTGCTTGTACAGAGGCAGGAGGAAACAGACTTAAGATTGGACTTCATAATTCTTACTCTTTAATTAATTCATTTGTGTGTTAAAAGTGCATATAACTAAACCTGGTCACGTATATCTAATATAATTAAGTGAATCCAGAGTGCAGCTTGATGAATATAAACAGTACCAGCCTCCCTCCACCCTCTTCCCAGATCAAAATATTCATTTCCTCCAGCACCTCAGCAAAGCTCCCATGCTTTTCTTTGTCAGTGCCATGCTCCACCCACCATTGTTTTAGGCCATGCCTGTCCTGTTTTTTTTGTTTGTTTTTTCTTAGGCAAATTTTTTTTTTTGCTATAGAGCACATGACTCACTAGCCAGAGTGACAAAGAGAGACAGAGAGACAAAAAGCCAGAAGTTACCTCCCCCCCCAGCCCCAAGGATACCACGCTGCAATCCCTTTTCCTCATTCTCCTCTTAGGATTTGGGGCATTCACGTACATGTGCCTGGCATGAGGGTGTGTGTGTGTGTGTGTGTGTGTGTGTGTGTGTGTATGTGTGTGTGTTTTAAGCTGCTGGATCTGGGACTTGAACCCAGTTGACTATGTGGAAATCCGGCGATGTAAACATTCCGCAATCTGCTGTCCCCTACCTGTCCTATTTTCTATCACATTTATCAGTATCCCCATTCTTATACTTTATATAAATGGAATCAGAAAATATCTACATTTTTGTTTGTTTGTTTTCCAAGAGAGAGAGGGAGAGAGACAGAAACAGGAAGAGGGAAAGTGAGAAATCGCTCTCCAGCCCTCTGCAATTCCTTCTCCTCCATCCTCCCATTATCTTGGATAACCATGTGCCTGGCATGAGTTTCGAGCCACTGGAATAAAACCATCATTGACAATGTGAGAGACATAACCGCTGTGCCATCTGCTGGCCTTGATACAGTTTCTTTCTTTCTTTTTTATTTTTTTTTTCAGGGAACTATTTTATTCAACTTCCTTTTTCTTTCTTTCTTTCTTCCCTTCTTTCTTTCCTTCTTTCTTTCTTTTTTCCTTCCTTCCTTCCTTCCTTCCTTCCTTCCTTCCTTCCTTCCTTCTTTCTTTCTTTCATTTCTTTATTTTTACTTTAACCAGAGAGGGATAGAACGAGAGAGGGAGAAAGGGAAAGCAAGACAGCAAGCTGCCAGGTCCAGGACCTGAACCATGGTCGACCATGGAAGAGTCCAGAGCCCTTAACCACCACACCACCTGCCAGCCCCCCCGATAGTTTCTACTTTTTTGTGTATTGCTTCATTTGTTCAATTTGTTTTTTGAACTAAACTTACATCATTTCTGTGGCAATCATGTGTTTCTTTTTTTACTGTGGAAAAATGATCTTTTCTATGAATATAGCACCAACTGTTCTTCAATTAATGACTTGTTCGCATATTGAGATTGTCAAAATTTTAGGAATATCCTTTTAGATGTCATTTCTCTTGGGTATATTTTACCCTTTTGGGTATATTTCTAGGAATAGACATGCCCTGTCATAAGGCTGGTGTAAATTTTGCTGAAGTTAACACCACTCCTAATTTGCCACAATGCCCACATATTCACACTCAGACAACCATGTAAGAAAACTTCCATTTTCTGTCAATCTTGTCTTAGAACTCTCAAACTGTTTTTTATAACTACTTTATAAATCTAAAGTGATACCATCTTTAAAGCTTACACTTCCCTCATAAGAACCGATATTGAGTAAATTTTCATGTATTTATTTTTCTTTCACACACACATATGGTTTTGAAGTTATTGATCATAGTTTAGTCTGACTTATCACTTTTTTCTCTTGTGTTTGTGTGTGTGTGTGAGTGTGTGTGTGTGTGTGATTATATATGTCTTATGTTCAATAAATCTTGCCACCTTTGGGGCCTAAAGATTTTCTTGTATGCTTCTGTCCTAGAGTACCATTTTATTTTTTTATTTCTCACACATGGACTATGGTCTAGCATTTATTTCTAATTTGCCCAGTATGAAATAGGTCAAGAGTTTTATTTTTTAATCCATATATATAGTAAGAGGGCCCCACTCTCTTGTTCTCTCTTTCCACCCTGCTGCACCCACCAGGGGATTTGCATACTGTCCCTTAGGGAGCACCTTCCCTTGCAAATCTAAGATAAAAGTCAGCTCTGATCTCTGGACTGCTCAGGACTCCCCAGTTCAGCTCTCAGCATGGGGTTCCCTGCTCAGCTCCTGGGGCTGCTAATGCTCTGGGTACCAGGTGAGGGCACAGAGGACTGAAAGAGGAGGAAGGGTGGGAGGGTCCTTCAGGATGGGACATATAAAGTTTAGATCTGTGACAGTGAGGAAGGTTCTGGAAGGAACAAGGACCCTTAGCATGCTGAGGATAGTCACACAGAAACTGGGTTTGGTATGGGAGGTTTATAGAGGTCCCCTGTGGGCTTGCAGATCTTGGATCCTTTTCAGAAAAATTATATTTTGGTGTATCAATCAAAATGTCAAGATTATAGAGCCTGAAATTTTTAAAATGTGAATGATGCTTGTATATAATCTTGCATTTCTCTCTCATTATTTCAGGATCCAGTGGGGATGTTCTGATGACCCAGACTCCACTCTCTCTGCCCATCAACTCTGGAGAGACGGTCTCCATCTCCTGCAAGTCTAGTCAGAGCCTCCTACACAGTAATGGAAACACCTATTTGGAATGGTTGCAGCAGAAGCCAGGCCAGGCTCCACGGCGCCTGATATATGGGGTGTCTAACAGGGACTCTGGGGTCCCAGACAGGTTCAGTGGCAGTGGGTCAGGGACAGATTTCACACTCAAAATCAGCAGGGTGAAGCCTGAGGATGCTGGAATTTATTACTGCATGCAAGTTACACACGCTCCTCCCACAGTGATACAGCCCTGAACACAAACCTCCCTGCTTGGAGTGGCCCAGCTGCCCTCATGTGCTGTCTGTCTGAGGAGCAGCACAGCAGCTTCTGAGCCAGTGTAAGAGGAGGGCGCTGGAGAGCTCAGGGCACTAGGTGGCTGCTGTCTGTGCCACAAGTGCCCTACCCACAGCTCAGGCTCCAGCCATCTGTGGCCCTATCAGCTGCAACAACCGCAGTCTGGAATCTGGAGCTCGAGGACAGGGTGGTCCCATCAAGGTGAGGGGACATGATCACGTGATGGTTCATAATGGAACCAAATAAAACTCATTCTAATCTTTCCTCCTTCCTTACATTTATCAATTCAGATTAACCTGCATAAATGACAGAAATGAACATGTTGAACATATCTTGAGGTTTATTAATTTTTTTATCCTGATAGGATATTGACTAATAATCAGAAAATGCTATTTTTCCCCTTTCTCAACTTCCTATTTTTCCTTTTTACTATCTCTCTGCCCACTCTAAGTATCAGAGAGATAGCATTCTATATACAAGCCATTTTTAGGAGGAACTATCTTAGGAAAAATCTTGGCTGTTGAGAATTTAAATAGACTATCATAAATTTGTATCATATTCAAGATTCTAATGCTAAAATTCTTTGATTTGTGTAACTACCTATGGCTGATATAAAAGAGAGTGTTTGATATTTGAAAAATTGTGTTAAAATAAAAACCACATGGCTAGCACAATGACCTGAGGGTTAAGGGAGCATTATTCCACATGGCCAACATCAATTCAATTTCTGGACCCTGCATCTTGAAAAACAAATTTGATGATTGGGGACATGTCCCTCACAATCTTTGAAAGGAGGATAATGGAGTGCAGTGTGACAGGATTTTATTGGAGGGGATCCATTCTCCATCTCCCTCTCTCTCTCTCTCTTTCTCTCTCTGTCTCTTTCTGGTGAGAGCACATGTCCTCTGTTAATAAAAAAAATTAAAATATAAAAATTATAAAAAAGAAAACCTATAGCTCAGAATTCATCCCATATCCCACTGGAAGGTTACAACATGATAAATTTTTTAACATTTTATTTATTATAATCATAATATTGTTTATATTACATTGAATCATGTGTAAGTTTACAGTGTATTACATTTGTTTTTCCAGAAGGGATACCATGCATATCTGTCAATACAAAGACATTAAAATCTCCATCATCATCATCAAATAACTTTTCATTATTTTTTTAGATTATTATTATTATTACAATTTTTTAAACATTCAATCACTATTTATCATTTTGCTTGTAAAAAGACTTTATCCAACATGAAATACTTCTCAGACCAGTGCACTTGAGAATACTATACATGTTATCAACACATAAAAAACCATTTCTGTGTCCCACTAATGTCATGCCTCTCTATTGGTTCTCTTGCAATCCTTCTCCATACTCTTCTCTTCTCCTGCCCCATTCCCACACTGTCTTTATCATCACTATTTTCGTTGCTTTTATGCCATCCAGTATATCGATCTCTACCATAAATTGCTGAAAGTCGGTATATATGAAGTGGATACATACAATATCTTTCTTTCATATATATTTTGCTTCACTTAGCAATAGATCCTCCATATCTGCAATCCTTCTCCATACTCTTCTCTTCTCCTGCCCCATTCCCACACTGTCTTTATCATCACTATTTTCGTTGCTTTTATGCCATCCAGTATATCGATCTCTACCATAAATTGCTGAAAGTCGGTATATATGAAGTGGATACATACAATATCTTTCTTTCATATATATTTTGCTTCACTTAGCAATAGATCCTCCATATCCAACCACTTTCTATCAAATGCCATGGTTTTCATGTTTTTTTTTTTTATGGCTGGGGAGGATTTCATAGATCCATATTGATGTCCACAGTGGCTGAACCAGTTTACATTCCCACCAACAGTGTAAGAGAGTTCCCCTTTTACCACATCCCCATCAATACTTACCACTATTTATATTTTTAATCTTTGCCATTCTGGCAGGGATTAGGTGGTATCTCATTGTGATTTTAATCTGCATCTCCCTGATGATAAGGGATATTGAGAATTTCCTCATATGCTTTTTGGTTGTTTGTGTGTCTTCCTTAGAGAGATTTTTGTTCAACTTGTTTTCCCATCTTTTAATTGGGTGAATCATTTTCTTCATGGAAGGTGCTTGAGTTCCCTGTGTATTCTGGTTATCAGTCCCTTGTCTAAGGCATATTTTACAAAAATGCTCTCCCATTCTGTCAATTCACACTTGTTACTGTGTCCTTTGCTGTGCAGAAACTTCTTAGTCTGATATAGTCCCACTTGTGTATTTTAGGGATTATTGTCTGTGCTTTGGGGAGTCTTATTTAAGAAGTCTTTGCCTACTCCAATGTTTCCCAGAGTTTCCCCAGTATTTTCCACCAGTAGTTTTATAGTTTGAGGTCTTAGGTTCACATTGATCCATTTTGAGTTGGCTTTTGTTAATGGTGACATATGGAGATTCAGTTTCATCTTTCTGCAGGTGTATACCCAGTTTTTCCAACATCATTTACTAAAGAGGTTTTCTTTCCTCAATGGATTGACTGGTATCCTTTGTCAAAAATCAGTTGGCTGTAAGTTTTGGAGTTTATTTCTGGGGTCTCTATTCTATTCCGTTGGTCCACCTCTGTGTTTTTGAGCCAATACATACTGTTTTGATTATCACATCTTTATAGTATATTTTTGGGTCAGGGATGATATGCTGCCCACTCCACTCTTTATACACAGGATTTTTAAATATGAGGTCGTTTATGATTCCAGACAAATTCTGTGATTGTCTTTTTTAGATCTTTGAAGAATATCTCTGGTATTTTGATTGGAATTGCATTAAATATGTAGATTAATTTGGTTAGAATTGCTATTTTGATTATGTTAACTCTTCCAATCCAGGAACCTGGATGTCCTTCCACTTTTTAATGTCACTTTCAATATCTTTTTAAGATTTTTCATGGTTTTCTTTGTAAGGGTCTTTGACTTCCTTAGTTAGGTTTATCCCTAGGTATCTTATACATTTTGTGGCTATGATGAAAGAAATTCTTTTCTTCAGCTCTACTTCGTCCAACTTGCTGTTCATATATAGAAATCCTATAGATTTTTGGATGTTGATTTTGTATCCTGCCACTTTACTGTATTCACTTATTACTTTGAGAAGTTTTTTTATAGAAACCTTTGGGTCTTCTAAGTATACCATCATGTCATCTGCAAAGAAAGATATTTTCAATTCTTCTTTGCCTATTCAAATGTCTTTTATATTGTTCTCTTTTCTGATGGCGTTAGCTAAGACTTCTAGCACTATACTAAAAAACAGTGGAGAAACTGGGTAGCCTTACCTAATACCAATTTTTAGTAGAAAAGTTTGTAGTTTTTCCCCATTCAGTATAATGTTAGCTATAGGTGTTTCATAAATAATTTTTATTATGTTGAGAAATGACTCTTCTATACCAATTGTACTGAAGTTCTTAATCATGAAAGGATGTTGTATTTTATCAAATGCTTTCTCTGCATTAGTTGAAATGATCATATGGGTTTTATCTTTCTTTCTGTTAATATGGTGTATTATACTTACGGTCTTGTGTATGTTGAACCACTCTTGCATCCTTGGAATAAAGCCTACCTTGTCGTAATGAATAATCTTTGTTACATGTTGTTGGATACGATTTGTGAGTATCTTGTTGAGAATTTTTGCATCTATATTCATCAGTGCTATTGGTCTGTAGTTTTCCTTTTTTATCATGCCTTTATCTGTTTAGAGAATGAGTATGATAGAGGCTTTATAAAATGAATTTAGGTTTCCTTCCTTTTGAATCTTTAGAAATAAGTTGAGTATTATAGGGATTAACTCTTCCTTAAAAGTTTTGTAGAATTCAGAAGCAAAGCCACCTGGACCTGGGCTTTTCTTTGTCAGAAGGTTATTTATTACTGATTCAGTATCCTGGCTTGTTATGGGTCAATTATTCAGATTTTCTATGTCCTCCTGATTTAACCTTGGTAGATTAAATGCATTCAGGAATTTGTCCATCTCCTCCAAGTTCTCTTGTTTGTTAGCATATAGTCATTCATAGTACCCTCTAATAATATTTTGTATTTCTATTATGTTTGTTGTAATGTTGCCTGTTTTGTCTCGTATATGCTTTATCTGGTTTCTTTCTTTCTTCTTCATCAGTCTTGCCAATGGTATGCCAAACAATTTTCATGAGAAAGTAGTGAATGGAGAAGGTGGTTATGTCTGAAATCATCAAAGGTGATGTGAAGTTTCTGAAAGTTGCAAAGAGAATGGAGGTCATATCGCCCAGTCCTATTCAACCCAGCACAGCTGAGAGCTTCTAATACTTACTCTGCCCTAAGCTGTGATCCAGCACAGATTTCAGTGTGTGAGGGTGTAGAATGTGATGCCAAGCTAAAGGAAATGTCCATCTAGTTCAGAAAACTGTCATTTGTTTTCATTCAACTCTAGAGACAATCATATTAATTCACCTTTGTAATAAGAGAAGCTGAATTACATCTCTTGTGCTCAGAAAAGCTCCTCACCAGTAGGGCCAATGTGAGTGTCAAGGACAATGACTAAAATATCTCTCTGGACTGGGTCCAGCAGAAAGGCAGACAACCTGGGCACCTAATGTTTTAGGTTCCCCACTTACAGCCAGAGGTGCCGTGTGACTGTGTGTCAGTAGTTCTGACAGCAATTTCATTGTCACCATTCGAGGCCTGGAGGCTGATGATGCCACTGCCATTACTACTACAGGATGGACAGACTCTGCTTAACAATTAGCAGCCTGCTAGTCCTGGTGATATTGCTGATGTGACTGTCTAAAACTGAGTTGCCTTATAAGGTACATACCTGACTGTCCACATTTACATTATAATTAAGCTCTGCACTGGCACCACTGCATTTGGAGTTCTCAACAGCCATCCTGGCTAACAGTTACCACACTGGGCAACACAAATCCAGACATGATCATTGCAGGAAATTTAACGA